GAGGGTGTGGTGAAAGGGGAACTCTCTTACACTGCTGGTGGGAATGTAAATTGGTCCAGCCACTGTGGAGAACAATTTGGAGATTCCTCAAAAATCTACAAATAGAACTACCATATGATCCAGCAATCCCACTCCTTGGTGTCTATCCAAAGGACAGAAGAATACTTAATTGGAAAAGTACTTGCACATAGATATTTATTGTGGCACTACTCAAAATTGCTAAGTCATGGAAACAACTCAAATGCCCATGAACAGATGAATGGATATAAAAACTGTGGCACATATACTCAATGGAATACTATTCAGCCATAAAAAAAAACCTGGCTTTTGACAGGAAGTGGATGAATATGGAAGATCTACTGCTGAGTGAAGCAAGCCAGGCTATGAAGGAGAGGTATTGTATGTCCCCACTTAATATATACCAAATGCCCGTACTCTATGACGGAAAGTAATTGACTAAAGGATATAGAAACACAGTATATAGATGTAAATACCAGATACAGTGTTTGTGAAAAAGGAGGGTCTGAGGAAGGACATTTAGAAGAGAAATAGGGAGGCAAAGAGCTAATGGCACAAATGTGGTATTTTCTGTTGAAGATATTTTGTAGTTTTATCAACTGTACTAGGGTGAAATGTTCACCTGTTGAAACATCCATTTTGTAAGTCAAATAATAATGTGATTGAATGTATAGAAGAAAATAAAATGAAAAAAATTTAAAAAGATAAATGAAAAGAAAAATAAAAAGTTAATATTTCTAAAAAAGAATAATAAAATAAAAATATATTTTAAATTAAAAAAAATGTATCATGGAGAGATGGCTGTAGAAACCTGTGTTAAGCTTCACTTCATGTAACTTGGTATAAATAGTATTGCTTTTTATGTTTTTGATTTTGTTCTATTTGAAGTGGGGAGAAAACCACAAATACTTTCTGTCCAACTTTTAAAGACTGAGCATAATAGGATAATTTCACACTTCTGGGTAAAGAGGGTTCAAGTAACAGTAGATTTAGAAAGCCAATACTACCTAAGTAGCTTTGAAAAATGTCCTCTTTCAGAATGACTTTCATGGCAAAGTGATTGAGCTGAGAATTGAAGCCTTGAAGAATTACCAAAAGGCCAATGATCTGAAATTATCACTGTACTTACAGCAGAATTTTGAGCCAAAGCAAGCACTTTTAAATCTTCCCAGGTCCCAAGGTAGGTAAAGTAATATAGGTTTAAGGTTTTGTTTTGTGTGAATTTCATTGGAGATATTATTTACAAAGTGAGCAATACAATGACCAACACACAGTAAGTTAAATTTTAGAAGTGTGATAATAAATTCTTTCACTATCATTATCATTATTACTTGGAAGCTCTAGTACCAAGGTAAGAATTCTCTCTGGAGAAAATTAATTTTTTCTTTGTAAAGATAAAGTAATACATTATGTAATTAGCATATGTAACTGATACATAGTTGACCTTCAATAAAATAATAGTTACCTCCTAGGAATTAGAGTTGTTCAATTCATTTCAGAGCAGAAAGGCAGGTGATAGGTATTTGACAATGGTCATGAATTTCACTAATACAAATGTTCCTCTGCGAGTTTCAGCAATTTCTCCCAAAGAATTTATGGCATCATTCAAGGAAATTATAATATTTACCATAAAAAATAGAATAAAGGAATGGCTCTGAGGGCTGGGAAAAGGATTCTTAAATTTTCAAGTATCTATGAATCTCAACTCTGCACTTTTAAAAAGGAACATGCAATGGGAAATCATGGCCAAAGAAAGACAATGTTTATTCAGATGTATGTCTCTAATTTCTTCTGTCTTGTTCCAAAAAAAGGCTTGAATAGCTTATAAAAATCACACACAGGTCTGACAGTTGCAGTGCACATTGAAGGCTGCTATTTGGTAGGCTGAAACCACATGGGAGGCCCAGGTTTGATTTCCAGCCCAAAAGTCAGTGTGGTGGCACACACCTGTGGTGCTAGCTTCTCAGGAGGCTGAGGCAGGAGGGTTGCAACAAAATAATACCCTATTTAAAAAATAATATTTCACATGCACACACTCATGCAAAATCACACACAACACATAAAATTAAATACATGAGTAAGGACCAGCAGATGGCATAATGTTTATGTTGCTGGACTCCCACATAGTTGACCATGGTTCGGGTCCCACACCTGGTAGCTTAAAACTCCCGTTGGGCGCATGTGCATGCATGCCCAGAATTCTGAGAGGAGAATGGAGGAGAAAGGATTGCAGCGTGGCCATCCCCCTGGGGGGTGATTTCTTGCTTTCTCTCTCTTCTCTGGTGAGTGTACATACCCTATAGCAAAAATCTCTCAAAAGATAAGTAAATAAATACATGAGTAGATCAAAGGAAAGAGAAAATAAGTTGAAGCCAGGGAAATATATGCAAATGAAAAATGAGAGTACCGTATATTTGGTAAAGTAGGTTATAAATTTGGTTCTAAATTTCCAGCCAAACCAAAAACAAACAAAACACGCAGATCTTCAGTATCTATGAAATAATAGCAAACCAATTCTCAGAAGAAACAAAGCTTTTCCTAGTACTAAGATCTGAGAAATTTACTCTCCAGGTTCTTACAGTGGGAACAGGACACTAAATGTGTTCTAACAGTAGCCAATGTCTTCAACATTTCTAAAATAAATTTGGAATCTAAATTTCCTCAGCTGTTTCTTATCCATCCCTTGACAAACCTAATAACAAATTGTTAATCTTACATTTGTAAAAAATGAAGGATTAACTCTAGATGATTTGGCCAAAGTATATAGCATTCTGTTGACCCAGAGATAAAATTTTAAAAAATCCAGAAGACTGGATCCTATCCTAGCTTTCTGGCAGTTTTCTACACATATTTTTCTTTCAACTTATTTCTGATTAGAATTGGATAGCAGAAAGCTGAAAAGCAAGAAACTGGAATGCAACCAGAAGGAGTATAAAGTCATTAAGATACAAGTTAAAAAAAAATAGAGGAAAGGAGGGTATAAGGAGGACAGACAGATAACTGTTTTACTTGATTTAAAACTGGCTGAAGGTTATCCCAAGGGATCCAAAGGATAAAGAGCCAAAAGTCTTCTAGCATCAGATTCAAATCAGGCCTAGACTAGTGAACAGTGGAGTTCCCTTTAACTGATTGCCTTGGGAGTTTTTTGTTGTTGTTGTTGTTTGTTTGTTTTTTAACCCTTGCTTACAGAACACTGAATCAGCTGAAAACGGGGACAGCCCATGATCAATACCCTTTTCTCTCCTCTTATGCTTCTGGAGAATTAAGTAATACTATATCGTTTAGTTACTACAAATTAATGTCACTGCAGGCATGAGTGACCTATTGGTCCTATGTCTTATGGACTGTATATTTACTGAGCACCAATTATAGGCCAGATTTATCTCTTAATACTCATATACAAAATATTTGGGTTTGAGTCGAAGTGCTTCTAAAATCTAACAAAGTTCGAGATTTTGGTTATGTTGACATATTTAGTGTTTGGTTGTTTAAAAAGAAAATAACAAAAAAAAAAAAGAATGAGTTCCCTTCATGGAGGAATTTTTAAAGTAATTACTTTTATTTATTTATTTTTTAGAAAGATTTTAGCTATTGGACACATGCACTCACTGGACAGAGAAAGTGAGAAATCACCACCCTGAAGCCATGCCAAAATTCCTTCTCTTCCATTCTCCTCTCAGGATTTTGGGCATGCATGCACACATGGTCAGCATGGGTGTCAAGCCTCCAGATCTAGGACTCAAACTGTGGTCAGTCATGTGAGAGTCCAGTGCCTTAACCACTATGCCACCTGCTGGCCCTTAAAAGTAATTATTTTAAGAGTTTATTACCAGCAGTGGGACAGTAGTATGGCAGATGAGTGGTACTGTTTTTCTCATCTTAATGTATTACTTGGACTACTGTTTATTCACTATTTTATATTTAAATTAACTTCTAATTTCATAATTTGCATTCCTTAAAAATAAAATTTGTATTACTATTTTAAATGAAAAAATAATGTAGTTTTCTGTAGAAGGTAAACTTGATAATAATAATTCAAAAAAACAAAATTTTAAAGTTTTACTGAGATGTTGATGATCTTTGTTTTTTCTTTCTTTCTTTTTTTTTAGACTTTTGTCATAGGGTATGCACACTCACTGGAGAGAGACAGAGAGAGAAAAAAGTGATAAATCATTCTTCAGGGGATGATAGCCATGCTGCAAACTTTTCCCCTCCATTCTTCTCTCAGGATATTGGGCACACATACACATATGCTCAGTGTGTTTTTCAAGCCGCTGAGTCTGAGACTTGAAACACAGACTTGGTCATGTGGGATCCAGCACCTTAACGAGTGCACCACCTGCTGGCTTTAGGCCTGTTTTATCTTTATTAGGAAGTGAGATTAGCAAAATAGAGGATTTTAAAGAAAATCTGCACCAAATTGATACTTTCTTTTTGATACCATTAAATTTGAAAGAAAAAGGGAATAATTTTCTTAATGTGAGTTGTAGTATATAATGTATTCTAACACCTCATAAATTTTTTCTGGTTACCAAATAAAGTCATCTCACTATAAAATTTTGAGAAAGTATAATCTAATGGGAAAAGCACTGAAGATATACTCAGATTCATGAGTTGTAGACCTGACTCTGAGGCTCACCAGTTGTATAACCTGAACAAGTCATGTATTACTTTTCCTTGATCTAAAACAACAGTAACATATTATAGAGCATGTGAAAAACCGATAACTTTGTTTAACCCTCAAATGGATTTTTTAAAATGTATGTACAGGGACCAGCAGTTAGCATGATGGCTATGTTGCTGAACTCCCATGTAGTCGACCATGGTTCGAGTCCCAGACCCGGTGGCTTAAGCTCACGCCAGGTGTGTGTACATGCATGCCCAAGATCCCGAGAGGAGAATGGAGGAGAAGGGATTGTGGGGTGGCCATGGCCATCCCCTCTGGGGGGGGGGGTGATTTCTCGCTTTCTATCTCTTTGTCTCTCTCTTTCTGGCGAGTGCACGTACCTTAAAAAAAAAAAACAAAAAACAAAAAACTAAAAATGTATGTACCTATTTGTACAAAACAACAAAAAATAGGGGCCAGTAGATGGTGTAATGGTGTAATGGTTCTGTCATTGGACTCCCACGTAGTTAACTGTGGTTTGAGTCCCGGACCTGGCGGCTTAAAACTCACTCCAGGCACATGTCAGCCCAAAAATCCAGAGAGGAGAATGGAGAAGGGATTGCAGCATGGCCATCCCCCGCCCCTGGAGGGGGTCATTTTTCACTTTCTGTCTTTCTGTCTCTTTCGCTCTGGTGAGTACACACACCCTATAGCAAAAATCTCTCTCTCTAAAAAAAAAAAAGAAAAAAAACCCCACACACGCACACATTCAAAATTTATATACCTAGGAAATAGGTATTTTAGAACAAGAAATAAACACAAAGAAGCTAGACTTTTGACTCTACTTAAAACTTACATCTAGACTGTGCTATAAAATGACAGTGTGTATTGGTGGCCAGAAGATGGTATGGTGGTTAACGTGCTGGACTCACACATATTTAATCATAGTTTGAGTCCTGGACCTGGTGGGTGAGAATCACACCAAATGCAGGTGTGTGTGTGCCCAGGCTCCCAGGAGGAGATTAGAGAAGGAACTGTCGTGTGGCCATCCCCCTTGGGGATGGCTTCTCATATTCTCTCTCACTATCTCTGTCTCTGTCTCTCTCTCTCTTCGGAGAGGACAAAGACCCTACTGCAAGAAAAAAAAAATGGCAGCGGGAAAGTATGTGACTCGTTATGCCTCTTCCAGCTCTAAAGGCTATGATTTGAATCCAAACTATCACCTGTCTAATGTATAATCCTCCCAGTGAAGAATCATACTTCTTGATATTAATTTGTTTAATAATAAAGCATGTTCCAAAATGGAGTGAGAGATTTGTAATTCTATACTTATCCCAGTAGGTGGCACCATCCACATCCAGGCATCAAGTCCACATTGTGGTATTTTAGGAAACATGACATACTGTGGGAAACATTGGCCTTTTATTACCCTTGGGACAAAATGTGCCACATTAATATATCAAATGAGAAAAGAAAAACTATTGATATTTTTGCTCTGTGACACCAAGATGTATTACTGTCACACTTGATTAGAAAACTCAAGTGTTCAGCTGCACAATCCTTACCTATTCTACTGCTTGAACTACAGTTCTTGCTATTTGGAAACACAATCACTGCCAACTTTGTGCACAGCCCTTGTCTAATACTGGTTCTTTCTACTGAAGATAAATCAGGTGATTAGGACACTGAAGTAAAAAAAAAAAATAAGTTGAGTAATTGCACAAGGTGGTGATTATTTTGAAGTTTAAGTACTTAATAGTATTCTCAATTAGTGTTCTTTTTAACCTAGTTTCAAAGGAATTGAATTTCGCAAATCTATCTTAGAGAAAGGGCAGCATGTAATTTTAGTCATTTCCTAGTAAATCAGGGTACAGGTCCTTCTGTTTGAGGCATTTCTAAGTAAAGGAAGAGCTTACCCCAGTTAACCCACTTACCCCTCCTCCCACCGTCCTATGTGCTGGTTGGCTGAGTTGCAGTGGTGTGATTCATTTGGTAGGTGAAATACAATCTTTATTATTACTGACTTTGTTACACTTGAAGGAATCCATATTTTGAATTCCTCTGAGGCCCAGGTTGTAGCATTGCCATTGTCAGTATTAATCTATTTAGAATATTGCATCACCTAGTCTTCTAAAAGAGAAAACATTTTTATGTTGTTTACACCTTGGGTGAAGTCTTTCCTTTTGGTCTTTCCAGAGACAGTCATATTTGAAAGGATTTACTTCCTGGCCAGTATAAAAGTATAATTGATCAGTATATGGCAGCCCTGCTTGGCTTCTCTAGAGTCAAGAGAGCAGTCTGCAGCCTTTGGCATCACCTATCTTAAAGAGCACAGGCACTAGGCAATCTCTCTATTCAGCTGAATTTCTCATCACACCTGCTGGTGTTTAAAGAAGAGATTTATCTTCAGTATTAATGTAACTTATGATAAGATATTTGATTCTGACAGACATGATTTTCTCTACCCCACCCTCACCCCACCAACTCAGCATTTTCTTGAGGTCTTTTTGAGAAGAACCTGAAGGTTGGATGTGAATATTATGCTACACTTAAAAATTCAGATGAAAGACCATGAGGTGGGAAATGAATACTCTTGAGATCCTATTTACTCTAAAATTCCTTCTGTTCTGAAAGTAAGTCATTCCTCTAGCTTTAACCTTTACTTCACTTTAGAATTATTCTTCCTGATGGCTGAAATACACTTCATCAGGTGCTGATGAAAGGAAAATAGTGTAGTGCTAAGGTAAAATGCTGTAAGGCAGAGGCAGAAAAACCACAACTAGGTCAAATCTGGGTCCTTGATAAGTAGTACTGTCCTTATTCATAGGGTTTTTTAGGCTTTGGGGAAGCTGAATTTTTTGAATGTCAACATTAAGTTTATGGGACTAGTAGGTTATAGTTAATATCTAAACTAATTCCTTCACTTATCATAAAGCCCTACAAACATATAGGGGGAGAATAAAATTCCTTTTTTCCTTAAATAAAAATTTTGAGGATTGAAAAAAGCAAACTGTTCCCTTACTAATATTAGGATAATTTTAATGATGACAATAGATTCTGCAACTTGTGTTTCATTCAGGAGAACAGTAAGATGCCTACGATAGGGTTGTCATAGATAGCAAATAAAAATAAGACACCCAGCTAAATTCAAGGTTTTTTGTTTGTTTGTTTGTTTGTTTGCTTGTTTTGAGAGGTTTTTGCTACAGGGCGTGTGCGCTCGCCAGACAGACAGAGAGAGACATAGAGACAGAAAGCGAGAAATCACCCCCCAGGGGGGATGGTCACGCTGCAATCCCTTCTCCTCCATTCTCCTCTTGGGATCTTGGGCACGCACACACACGCGTCCGGCGTGAGTTCTAAGCCACCGGGTCTGGGATGCAAACCACAGTCGACTACGTGGGAATCCAGTGACATAGCCATTATGCTGACTGCTGGTTCCCCTAAATTCAAGTTTTAGAAACATAATAAATAATTTTTAGTATAAGTGTATCCCAAATATTGCACAGGACATACTTATACTAAAAGCTATTCCCTGCTTATTGAAATTAAAATATAAGTGGGTGTCCTATATTTTAGTCTGGCAACTCAAACTTAGGACAAGTTCACTACAGTCCTATTTAGCACCCTGTAATTCTCCCTCTTCCCCTTCCCTCTTATCCAATGTGTATCATTCTATCTGCCTTCTTTTTCTCCCCCATTCCCTCCTTTATCTTTTGTTTGTTTTCTGCTTCCCATGATAGATTATTTTTGTGAAATATATCTGTTATCTGAGAATGTTTATACATGTACATGCTTTATTATTTTATTCCCTCATCTAGAAGTTGTATTAGAAGTACCTTTTGTAGTTTCTCAAAGTTGTTTTTACTTGCATGTAATCTTAAAATGATATTACCCCTCAAAGTTGTTTTTACTTGCATGTAATCTTAAAATGATTTTATCCCTTTGGTACATGAGCTCCAAACAGAAAAAAGATCCACCACTTCAACTTAAAAAATATTGTTTGATGGAAGTTATTTTCTAAAACAACTCAAAAATTCACATCAATACTAATTCTACAGTCAGCCTTATAATAATATAATTACATGATACTTTGATGAATATTAATAGCTTTACCACTAAAAATAAAACCAATGTTTTTCTCTAAGAAAGGGCTCATTTTCCTGTTTCCAATTAGGTACTATGGGAACTACAACTGTGGGCAGAGTAACTACCAATAGAAACGAATCCAATGTGGTAAGAACTTGTGCTTTCTTTTAAAAAGTCACTTTAAAGTCTTGGATAGTAGGATTTCTGGAATGCATTTGTTAACATACATTCTGACTTAATATTTTTAGGAGATTTGCAAAGTGAGTGCTCAATATTCTAGCTGTCTTCTTTGTTTTGTTTCTGTTGTTTTTGTTGTTTGCTTTGTTTCTCCTCTCTTAGAGAATTCTGGGATCCCACACTGAACAAGGAGCTAAAGGAAACCAGTTTGATGATGTAGGAGGGAGGCTCTTTTTTCTAAGGTCACTGCCAGATGAAGTTCTGAAGAATTAGAAGACTTTCACTCCATTTGCTTTGGACAGATTTAAAGACTAGGCACAACCATTTGTGTTAATTAAAATCTTTCAAACCTTTGTTTTAGTAATGTTTTCTCTCTCTCCTCCTACCAATCTGGGTGGAAATGTTAGATGCCTGGCTTTAAGCATGTCAGGAATTTAGTCATTTAGGGGTGGTAAAAAGCTTCTGATTATTTAGGTCATTTTAGATTTGAAATGACAACATTGAAATTCTAGTATATGTTGTTATGTCCATAAAAAGAAGTTTGTCTCCATTTCTGAAATATTTCATTCTAGGCTGATCCATCACTGGCAAATGTGCAAAAGGTACAAAGTAAGAGAAATCATATGCCCTAGCTCTTTTTTCAACCACGTCTAGATGCCCTGTTGAACCTGCCTCCTTGTAATCTATTCCTTGACTTTCTTTTACCTTTCCAGTACCTCTGTTTGTGTTGAGGCTCTCTGTCCTAACTGGATTACCAAAATCTCTTAATTAGCTTCCCTGCTTCCAGACTCTCTAATCTACCTTCTAAGTACTAAAGGAAACCAGGAAACTGTTTTCCAAAAGAGACATAGGATCAGGACCATCAGTTAGTGTAATGGCTCTGTCGCTGGAGACCCATGTAGTCTACCGTAGTAGTTTGAGTCCCGGACCCGGTGGCTTAAACTCACGCCAGGTGCGTGTGGATATGTGCCTAAGATCCTGAGAGGAGAAAGAAGAAGGGATTCCAGCGTGGCTAGCCCCCCGGGGGGTGATTTCTCGCTTTCTGTCTCTCTGTCTCTCTCTGTCTTTCTGGCTAGTGCACATGCCCTATAGCAAAAACCTCTCCAAAAACAAACAAACAAAAAAACAAACAAATAAAAAAAGACATAGTATCATGTCACTCCCCTATTGTTTCCCACTGACTTTATTGTAATGTCCCAGTTTCTTCACAGACCCGCCGTCTGGCCTGCCTTCCAATCTCATCATTCACTGTATTCCCCTTTCCTCATACACCCTACAGTAACTAAGAGCTCTACAGAACTATTTACAGTACCCTGAATATAGCATGAATTCTATTATTTCCATGTACAAAGTTAAAGATTCTCTTTCATGGTCTGCTTGCCCACTGACTATTTTTCTTAAGGACTGAGTTTGGTACTCAGTGTGATTCTCAACCCTAGCTGTGTATTATAATCCCCTTGGGAGCTTTGAAAAATAGTATTTCTCTAGATCCCTCCCCAGATAATTTAAACCATGATCTCTGAAAAAGAGGGTAAAAGCATCTATATATTTTAAAAGCTCCCTGTGAAATTCTCAATGTGCAGTTAGGTCTTAGAATCACTACTCTAGGTTTTCTTATTTCCATTATAGCACTTAATGAGTTATTGTAGTTACTGGTTTATACAGCTATCTCCCTAACCAGATGGTGAGCTCTTTGAGATCCAGAATTATGTGTTGTTCATCTTTTCATTTTTGATTACCTAACACAATGACTGTGATTTAATAGAGGCTCAGTAAATATCGTATGAGGGGTCTTTTTAAAAAAATTTTTTTTGAGAGGTTTTCGCCATAGGGCGGGTGTGCTCGCCAGACAGACAGAGAGAGACAGAGACAGAAAGTGAGAAATCACCCCCCAGGGGGGATGGTCACGCTGCAATCCCTTCTCCTCCATTCTCCTCTCGGGATCTTGGGCACGCACGCACACGCGCCCGGCGTGAGTTCTAAGCCACCGGGTCTGGGACTCAAACCGCGGTCGACTACGTGGGAGTCCAGAGACATGAGGGGTCTTTATAAAGAACATAGAAGATGTGTATTTAGAAAAAAATTACACATAGATTTCAAAACTTTTTGTGCCAAAATGAAATTATATTTTAACTCCATTTTCCTACAAACTTTTAAAAAAATTTTTTCTTCCCTAAAGGAAAAAGAGGGCACAAGCACCCCAATAGGGTCTCTGGATAGAAGTCCACCTCCAGCTTCAACCAGCACTAGATTATGGTCATGTATATGCCTAGCACTGGATTGTGAGCATGTATGTGCCCACCGTGTTCAAGGGAGTCTCCTGTTTTGAACCTGTAACCTTCCCATGTGGGTCAGTCTCGTAGAGTATCTTGTTTCACTGCAATGCCACTCTCTAGCCCTCATTTTTTATCCGTGAATACTTTGAAGTACACTTGTTTAAGGCTACAGAGTTAATTGCCAACTCTCAGGCCTCCTGATGCCCTGTCTTATGTAAACTACTACTGGATTATATTGCTATTCCTGAGATCTTCAGATCTTTTCTTTTACTCTGATTAAGGTGGCATTAATTTCCTATTGCATGTCAATATGAGAGAGTGGATTTGTCACAAAATGCTTCGTAATTCATGGGATTCCTCCATAGTTTCTGTTATTGAGCAAAGTAACTCAAATGTGCTTTCTCCCAAGGTTAATTCAAAATCTTAAAGGTGCATTTTAAAGGTGAATTTTGAAAAATGTACTTTGGGACTAAAGAAGGTTTTTAAGAAACCACAGAATTTTGACATTAGAAGGCACTTTTAAAAATTAAAAAATTTCCTTCACTTCCTCCATTCTCCCCTCAGGATCTTGGGCACACACACGCCCAGCGTGAGTTTAAGCCACGGGGTCTGGGACTTGAACTGTGGTCGACTACATGGGAGTCCAGCAACACAGCCATTACGCTAACTGCTGGTCTCTCAATCTGTATTGTTTCAAGAAAGCCACCTCTTAATATTTAATCTCTGAGAAACTTAAGACAGTCTTGAGAGAGATTTTCCAAATCAATTGGATTAGACAAAGAAATAAGAACAAAAGACAACAATATATAATCTGTACCACTGACTACCTTGAACTGGTCTTTTAACCTCAAAGCCTTAGATTCCTAATTTCATTTTAAATTAAGGTTTTTGTCTTAATTAGGCACTTAGGGCACTTGCTGGAGAGAAACAGAGAAGGAAAGAGAGAAGTCACCACCTGGGAAGATGGCCATTCTCACCACAGTCCATTCTCCTCCTGGGATTTTGGGCACACACATGCACAGAACGTGATTTTCAAGGCACTATGTCTGGACCTGAACTGCGGTTAGCTATGTGGGAGTCTTGCTCTGTAGCCACTGCAACACCTGCTGGCCTCTTCTCTTTGTGTGTGTGTATTTAACATAGGGTGCATATGCTCACACTAGAGAGAGAGAGAGTGAGAGAGAGTAAGAAATCAACCTCCAGAATGGAGGGCCAGGCTGCAATCCCTTCTCCATTCTACTCCTGGGATTTTGGGCACATACGCACACACGCTAGGTGAGATTTTCAAGCTGCCAAGTACTAAACTTAAAACACGGTCAGCCACGTGGGAGTCCAGCACCTTAATCACCATGCCACCTTCTGGTTCCCTAGATTCTCAATCTTAAAATTGGATTAAAAGAGCATCATTTGAAGGTTTTTAAATTATTGGGTTTTTTTTATCACTACCATGTATTTATATTTGTATATAATTTGCCATCCGTTTTTGATTAACTAAGACATGAAATAAACTGGTATACTTACTAACAAAGGTTTATAACTTCTTTTGTTTTTAGTGAGAGATTTTTGCTAGGGCATGTGTGCTTGCCAGAGAGACAGAAAGACAAAAGGCAAGAAATCATCCCAGGGGTGGGGGGCAGAGGCTGGCCACACCACCATCCCCTCTCTTCCATCCATCTCCTGAGGCTGGCCACACCACAATCCCTTCTCTTCCATCATTCTCCTCTCGGGACTTTGGGCATGCACACACACTTGGCATGAGTTTAAAGCCACTGGGGCCAGCACCTGAACTGTGATTGACTATGTGGGAGTCCAGAGACATAACCATTATGCAATCTGCTGGTCCTGGTTTATAGATTCTTAAAAAAATGAGTTACTTTACTTTTCCAAAACACTGAATTTAAAAATTCATTATCAGACAGGCTTATCATCTTTCCTTCGAATGTTCTAAACCTTTCAATTTCTTCAAAACACAATACTGAGGGAACCAGCAGTTAGTGTAATGGCTATGTCGCTGGATTCCCACGTAGTCGACCGCGGTTCGTGTCCCGGACCGGTGGCTTAAAACTCACGCCGGGCGCGTGTGTGTGTGTGCCCAAGATCCCGAGAGGAGAATGGAGGAGAAGGGATTGTGGCGCGACCATCCCCCCTGGGGGGTGATTTCTCGCTTTCTGTCTCTATGTCTCTCTCTGTCTGTCTGGCGAGCGCACGCGCCCTACAGTGAAAATCTCTCCCCCCAAAAAAACCAAAACACAATACTGAAATATAAAGCCTTTTATCCTGCTTTATCTTTAAGACTTAACATTGGGATTTTACCTATAACAGGGCAAACTTATCATTTAGATTGGCTGCCTCTTCATGAGTGTCTGCAATTTGGTGAATCTAGGATATAGATCTTGGCTTTATGGATACGAATGCATTTATTTGGTCAACTTATCCAAAATATTGGAGACTCATTTAAGCTACTCAAACTCCCAAGAGATTAAGTGATAAACCAATATTAACTTAGATCACAGAGAGGACTATTTCTCCCAATTTAGTTGGAATATGTTTATATTTAAGGTACTCCCATCTTTGAATCAAGTTATAGGAAATGGAATTAGTAATCAGAAAATATTAGTGATTGAAATATCATTATTGCAATTTTATTTGTACTCATAATATTCCAATTATGTTTATCTAAGAATAAAACCTCTGATGTTCTTTACAATACTTAGGAGATACTTTCAATTTGAAGGCCAATTGAGAAAAAATTCTGTCCCATCAGCAATACATTTATAAACTATAACTCGGAGCAGTACTATTTTTGTGGTTTATCTCATTTATTTTATCTTGACCTTCTAGCTATTCAGAGGATATTTGTTAACATTTCACCTTAAAAAGTTGCCTTTTTGCAATGACCACGAAGTGATTAGTAATGTTTGTCAGACTTCTTTCCTAAAGTAAGACCTACAAAGGCCTAATCTTTAGTCGGGAATAGCAATCATCAAAAAGGACAAGTGACAGTGCACAATATCTTGCTTTAAAAAATCTTAACATATGA